GATCTTGGATACTAGAGACACCCAATCCACCCGAGACAACTTTACTGCACATTTAATCTCTTCCTACGAGAATGGCTCTAAGTACGAGATTGTGACTCCTGTTATTTGTTTGAAGGTCTGGGAATCGGGGAATGAAAAGTTATCCATGGAAGCCGAGACAAACATGTAAACACATGGACAAAAGTTGTCCCGCCTACAAGGGTAACCCTGTTTCATAAACAAGGTGTCCCTACTGCCAGGGTGACCCTACCAGCCCAGACGAGTTGAAAACTTTCCATATAAACACTTGCATTTAAATGTTATATAATGAATATAATTTTGCCTCTCCCATGGTAGCTCGGAGGGTAGAGAGTGTCCCTAGTACCCAAGATCATATAAACAGCACCTCAGTCACATTATTATCCCCTACCCCTCAACATCTCTATTCAATGCTGCATAATATTTACAATATTTGTGATCATACCAAAGATTGAATTGGCATGGCATACAAAATATGTGAAGATTATGATTTTCATCCCATAGTTTTTAGGTAAGATTGTGTAGTCAAACTATAGAAATTGTGACCTATGATGGCATTGGAAGTACTAAAATGATGGGCAAATTCTATTAAAGCATAACTAAAATTACATGGAATTTTACAGTAGCTTGTATATTGTATATGTATTAAATAATATAATATTGCAGAAAAGTTTCCGTGTCTATGCATACTTTTACCGTATGTCCACAACCCTGAGACATTTGCATAATAATTATAATAACAATACAGTCATAAGAACAATAAAGTAAATAGAATATACATAAGTTTAGCGATTGAAACACTGCACAAACCAATAAGTAAACATATAAATAAATTAAAACAAACATACTTGCGATCATCGCCAAACCTTTGAAACTCACAGCCAACGCTTTGTGCAGTCAGCAGGATGCATCCATCGACTGCACAAACTTTTCCAGAAGTTCTTTGACATGTACTGCCACTGTTGATTCTTTCAAGAAGGGCAAAAGACAATTTTATATACCCATCGCTCGGCCGTGCACAGTGTTTTCACCTCGAACGTCAGAACGCTAATGAGTGAATTTTTTATTTTACTCATGATGCATTGCGGTCGTAGTGCGATCACCGCCTGGGTCCGCTCGTTGTATGGCCGTTTCTACGCCCTCTCTCCCTTCGCCCTGCTTACAACCACTGATGAAGGCCTATGATTTGATGAAACCAAAATAGTTTTTCTGAGTTATGAGCAGAAATACTTGATCCCAAACGTTGGGCTATATATCACTGAATTGAAGCTATTGCCGAAAATTGCTATTCGGTGTGGAAATTTCAAGACTTCAGCGAAAAGAAAAATATTTAAAAAATACAAAAACAACTGGCTGCAAAAAAGCCAAAATGGCAAATTCTCGGCAATAATTTTTGTAGTTTTTCAATATTTCCCTTTTAGCTAAAGTCTTGAAATCACTGAAAAAAACACTAAATAGCGTTTTTAAATAGCTTCAGTTTCATATACGGCACAACGTTCAGTGTTGAGTATTTCTGCTCATAACTCAGAAAAAACTAAAATGCACTGGTTTCAATCCCCCCCCTGAGTTAGCCTTCCGGTTTATTGTTGCATGCCATATATGGCATGCAACTAACATATAGCTTAAAATTCGTGTCGTTGGTGAAACTTGCGGCAGATCACGTGGGACGAGCATAATAACAATAAGCATAATTATAAGTTTTTAATCGTGTGCACGTTTTCTTCCGTTGTTTTCGTCGAGCAAATGCAAAGAAAATGTTGATTGTTCGCCGAAAATTTACATAATCGAGCGCCTTAGAAAAATACATCGAGGTAGGTAAAGCTTTGCTGCTTTAATTGCTGCCGAGCCTCAGCTCGGCAGCACACTATTCTTGACGTTCTTGCTTTTTCGTGCCCAGTCCCCTCGGCCGAGTTATGTGTAGTCGAATCTCGGATTTGCATTCGGTGGAGATTTCGGCATTCCAGGGGGCTCATTAAGTATTCAAGTTCGTTTGTAAAATGGGGGGGGGGGGGGGGGGGGGTTGTTCAACAAAATTTTCTTCAATGCTGCGAACAGGCTACTCAAAGATGTGTCTTTAAAGTATTTTACCCGAAATTTTCAGCACATAAAGCCGGATAATATCTGTAAGTTTAGTTTATATACTCAGCGTTTATTTATCGACGTGATGAACCGGTTTACTGATAAAGTTGCGAATATCGAGGGAAACAAGGTTCATATCTCTGCACTCTGCTATGAAAAGACTACTATGTCTATGACTATGTACTTTATGGCTACCTACTACAAATCGCTGGCTACTATGTATATGAACGAGTTTAAGAATTTATAAACTATTGTTTGTTCAAGGTCAAGTATTGTCACGATATCCTTCAAATATGTCGTACGTTATTTTGTGTTCTCCGCATAGCAAGCGCACACGACCACAATACAATGCGCTAAATAAAATTTACTTCAAAACCCCCTCTCTGCACATATTAGAATGCTGCTTCGCTCGCTCGCTTCAGGCTCGCTCGCTACGCATAAAAAAAAAGCGAATCCTTGATTATATAGCTTAGTTGAGACCCGTCGGAAAATTGTCAATGTTGTCGGAATCTTTGTGGTGAAGCATCGGGAAAAGTGATACGGAAACCGGGAGAAGTGCTACGAAAGCAATTGTGATGTCCGGAAAATTTTTTTACCAAAAAAGGTGTCGATGGGGGGGGATGGTCGGAGACATAGAGGTCGGAGAGATTTAAAATGTTGTGGTCCGGAAAATTTTTTTGGCTCCACCTGGGTTTTTGCTGGCCTCCCCCTGACCAAAAATCCTGGCTACGCCTCCGTTGCCGGCCCAATATCTATTCCGTGTGTTGCCGGGATGAAAGTTCAAAGATACCGTCTCAAGCTATTTTTAACTTACTGTCAAAACAATATCAAAATAACAAAATTGTCCCGGCAAGCGGGATGAAATTTTTTCATATAAACAAAAGAGAAATTCATCCCGCTCAACAGGAATCCCTCGCAACCCGAAAAAAGCAGGTCTAATTTTTTACCCGAACGGTTTTAAATTTGTCCGGTACCGTGGATGGAACAGACAAGAAAATTATCCGTGGATGGAACAGACAAGAAAATTTTTCTTTGTGTTAAAGTCATTAGTTCCAACCCAGGGCTCACAAGACAAAGAAAAACTTTCTTGTCCGTTCCAATCCACGGATAAATTTCCTGAGTGGAAACTAGCCTTACTTATTAAAAATCTAATTAGTTCCAGCCAAGAACTTAAGGCCCATTTCCACTTAGGAAAGTTTTCCGCAGAAAGAAAATTTTATAAAATGTGATTGGCCGACACAAATTTTCCGTCGGAAAAAAATTTTGGAGTTGAAAATTTTCAACTTTTTACAATGATATTTTCGGAAAATTTGCTGTCCGTGGAAAATTTTCTTAAGTGGAAATGGGCCTTTATAAGACAAAAGATTCGCGCAACAAATTTCCCCAGTGGAAAACCGGCTAGTTAAGAAAACATAGAAACCGTATTCGACTCGATCTTATAAATTCAAGGTGGATGAGAAAAGTCAAAAATACAAATGACTTCCGCCCACGAAGGATGTTTGCTCGAAACGTCGAAGTTCTCCTTGTATTTTTCAGGTAGTTGTATCCCTAGGGATTCATCCGCAGCTTTCTTATTATTGGCACTACCTACGCTGGCACAAACCGTTCAAGACTATATCACAGTTTATAGTCAAACATAGTTTACTAGCTGCTTTGTCGAGAAGCACTATGATGCGTGTGGCAGTATACTGCCCACTGTCCTGATTGGTGAATGGAATAATCTTAATTTTTAAAAGCAGGATCTCGTGTATAATTCATGGCAAGTTATGTCTGTGGTAAACGACTGAGCTATAAAAGACTTTGTATAAATTAAAATAGGCAATGATAACGTATAAAATAGATTTCTGCTAGAGAACTAACCTGAGTGTCAGACAAATAATGAATATAATTCGTTATTCGTCTGACACTCAGGCTGCCAGAGGGCCGATCGATAGTTGCATTTTTTGCAAATGCTCCTGGTTAGGTATACTAAATATATAAAAAATTTCATTCGAAATTTCATCTACAAATCCCTTCAAGTTATATCGAGTGAGATGTTCAAAATCCCGATGTCTAATGTATGATCCTTGTAATGCTTTTTATACACTTTGTAATATTAGAGCAGTACTATACGGTATGATATCGGCGAGGATATCTACGCAAACCGCAAATGATGTGAATGGCATCATGCTATTTCAAAATTACACCCAACGCCACAGAGTCAAAAATAAACGGGCTATGCCATCGTACTGATCGTAGGTAGTGAAAATAACACCAGAAAGCTGCGGATTGAGAGAGATTAGACTACCTGAAAAATACAACGAAACTTCGACGAATCGAGCGAATGCCCTTCGTCGGGAAACTTCAACGTTTTGAGCAAATGCCCTTCACGAATGAACTCCTTTTTCCAGGTCAAAAGACAAAAGTTATAAATTCTCTATCTAAACTTTCTCAGGATAGTGATACATATTAAATTATAGGACTAGTTATGTCTATGCCTTACCTGCTATCGTTAGTCGCTTTATACTGGCAAGTCTCAATTTATATCCATGGTTCTCGGCTCTCTGAAACGTACCGCTGTTTGACAACATAAATTCGTAAGCTCCAGTCAAAAAGCCGTTCATGCGTGCAACTGTAACGTTTTGATTGGCTGGACTTGATCTTAATTGGAAATCTGAGTTTCCGTTATTGCCCGTAAAGGTTCCTATTCCAAATGCAAATGAGTCTAATTCAGACTAATTGCAACTATAGTATCAGGGGTAGAAACACCAGGCGGAAATCGAATTCTAGTTAAAAATATTATTGCCCAGCAAATAACTCGTAAAAGAGGCATATTCAAAAAACATTTGGAATATAAAAAAATAGTATTTATTGAGTAACGTTTCGTCACATTACAAGCGACATCATCAGACTAAATACAGTTAAGCTATTTCATCTATTTTATAACAAATTTTGAAAAAATATATGATATACAATTACAAACGGTTAAAAAGTTAAAATTAGAAATATACAATGTTCATGGTATATTGACATGCACAAGATACTGAGATTAGTGAAAGATATAGATTAAAAAGGAATGTATTTTCCCACTCATCGCAAAAACCAACTCGTAAGCTCCGCTGCGAGTGCTCGCATCTAATTAACATAAACTGTCGAGCATTGTGGTTGAATGAAAAGAGTAAAATTTGGATATTGCATCTAATTTGATGGAATTTGATATGTTAATATTTCTTATCATTATTTGCCACTATCCACTGATGCATTAATGAACAATGTATTTTATTATATGGCTTTTCCGCAAAATTCTCTATTCTGATTGGTTGACAAGCGGTCCGTAAAAACCCATATCCGGACCGTGGTCCGTATTTTCCGTATTTGGACCGGTGTCCCGGATGTCGTTTATCTGACGGGAAATTTTTGCTTTGCAAACAGAAAAAATTTTTGCTTTTTAATTTTCGAATTGTGCTTTACCTGTAAAACAAAATTGTTTAGTGATTGAGCGTGCATGCCTACCGTATATTGTTATATTACCCAGTGAAACTGACGATAGCCGATTTAATTTAATTCGCGCGAAAAGCATATGCTCACAGACTCAGCCATATAATAAACCAATTATTGACCTCGCTTGTTCGGTCTGTACTGTGAAATATCAGACCTCTGTTTTTTGCATGGACCTCGCTCCTTCGTCGCTCGGTCCATACTAAAAAACCTCGGTCTGATATTTCACAGTACAGACCTCACGCTCGGTCAATAAGCAGTTATTATTAAATACACAAGGTCTGGATATGAGGTATTCTGCAATCTGATTGGTTCTTTACTAGCAGGATATTAAGTCCTCAGAAATTCCTTATAAATATCCCTAAAATTTGAATTTCCTTAAAATTTTGTTATGGACGGCGCAAAGTAGGTGTACTGAAAGATAAAGAAACAAGTTGTCTTTCATTTGGATAATCTACTATACACAGCTGCTTTTGGATTAATTTGCAGGTAATGTAAGATAGCCAACACAACCGAGCTATTGCCTGCATCAGTGAAGAATCCAGCGGAGTACTTCGCAAGAGCTGAAAATCGCCACCGACAGAAAAAACGACCAGCTGAGCCTTTGGATCCGAATTTCGAGATAAACGAAAACCATTTACCAGCATCTTGCAGTCAGATCTAAAAGTATTGTAGATGGACGGCGACAGCTCGTGTTTGCGACTGAAAGTCGAGTCTGCTTAAAAGATCGAAGACTTGATATGTTGATGGAACATTTATTTAAAGTCGTCAAAACTCCTTTCACACAACTACATGTATTTAATAAGTTCTTTGTATGTTTGCATGGTGATAAAATATAATAGGTTTTGTTTGTGGAAACACCACGTAAATTTATTACTGCAAAGCTTTCGATCCGTAAGCCCGGATCTTCATCAGTGCTAATAAGTCACATATTATTAGCACTGATGAAGATCCGGGCTTACGGATCGAAAGCTTTGCAGTAATAAATTTACGTGGTGTTTCCTCAAACAAAACCTATTACATGTATTTAGCCTGCATGTGTACATCCGTAAATTCTCCCGTAATTAACGTTAATTATACACAGGCTACCAACTATTCAGCATCCACTCCGATTTATCCGAAGCGGAGATTGTACCAAGTAATTTCTACTGGCGTTCATTCTGATGTCTGGAAAGCGCAAAAGAGATTACCGGAAAGTACTTATAAAGCCATCCCACAACGCCTCACGAAGGACAGAAAACTTGAGAAGTTTGTTCTTGATTTCGAGCAAGCTATCCCATTTGTTTTCTCAGGTTACACTGATCACGCTGGATTTTGTTGCGCCAAAATTTATAAACTTTCGACATCCTTGATCCTCCCGTATTTGTGAAATCAGCCTTCTGGCGTTTAGATATACTAACGTTTAAAGATCAAGGAGTCATCCAATGTTTATCCGTCTTCTTCACTTTAGCTAGATTTCTTAATTAATTAATTAACTGAGAAATAGTAATTAACTGCAGGACTATTATATTTCATCAAATTTACTGATATTTTCCTTCGCAATCAGAAATGGAAAAAACCTCACTTAGTCGGCCCAGTCGTAGGTGGTAATCCACTGGCCAAATAATCTTAGATTACTGTAACTGAGAACCCTTTTCAGTTCATAACTCATGTTAGCATGGTTGTTCGGTCTATTCAGAAAATCTTAACCATGACGTGGAAAAAGTATCAACTTGGATGTCAGCCAACCAACTTACTTTAAACCATTCTAAAACGGAATACATGATAGTAGGTAGCAATAGAAGAATTAACCAAATTGATATACACCCTCATATACATATTGGAGGACATAGGAAAATAGACAGAGTTAAAGTAACTAAATCACTTGGTATAAAGATTGACGAAAATTTGTCATCATGCATGGAATGCCCAAGTGAACCAAGTCACTAAAAAGGTCAATGCAGGCCTCAGCATCCTAAGACTGCTTCGAGAAATAGTGGATTATAGAACACTAATTACAATGCATATGAGGGCCCCCTATACCTCTTCACAATATGCTTTCACGTAAAAATATTTTGCCTTTTCACGAGTCACGAAAAATTGAAAAACTCCTTCACATTCACGTAAAAATCGAAGCGATCACGATTCACGTAAAAATAAAACAAAATTCACGAATTATTATATGGATGTCTTCCTTAATTGTTCGGCAACCGGTCCGCAATCAAACATATTGACCGGTCAATGATAAAATGGGTGCAATACGCATGAGTGTCAATCATCAAGTTCCAAAGTTCATTTTTAAAACTTTTTACTAAACATTTACCGGTTCCATTTATCCAGTTTTGGTTTCAAATTAAGTTCACTCCAATAACCGGTGAATTATTCATACTTTGACACTTATATACTATTATAACAAAACACTTGATAATTATTTTAATGCACCTCACGTCCTCGCCCCGTGTTTCCTCGTGTTATTAATTATTTGCCTACGAACTAACGAAAGGTATTTATCTTTTTGACTTCAAAGTTTTATTAAAATTTAGAATTTTAACATATCTTCGTAATACGATTTAGGTACAGCGCTAGTCCGGGCCCCTCGTATTAGTCGGCCTGCCAAGGTGGCAAAAAGTGCCTCTAAAGAGAGTTGATGGCAACTTTATGTTCAAAGCCTTGGTGAACAAGACTACCGGGTGGGGCAAAAAAATGTACGACTGTTTGAATTGCTGCAAAATCAAAACTAAAAGAGCAAGAACACTAAAACAAGTTTATTGGTATTCAGCGATTTCCAACTTAAATTTTATGCCTTGCCCATTTCGATGCCATATTGACAAAGATGCATGCATGCATTTAAGCAGGAGTAAACATTTTCGGAACTGACGAAATTAGCTAACTAGGGATCCAAGGATAGTGTGAAGTTTCGAATTGAAAAGACAATGCAGGAACTATATATGGTCGCCGACAGCCTAGAAAAGCTGATGGCTTACATCTCATTATTTATTGCTTTTAATACGCTCGGCACACGAGTAGCGTGACGTTTGAAATAAGCCTAACACATAAGAAACTTGCCTTGTGAAACTGATGCAATTCATCTATTTATTGTGATGCTACACGATGCTACACGAGACAATTCAAAATTTAAATGGTTTCGCCAACAACCAAATTTTGAATATTCTAAATTTTCATTTGCATTTGCAGCTGTCGCTAAAAGCTCCCCACGAGGCTACTGCTATGCTAAATTTATCTAAAACTATAATTGAAATAGCTGTGTAAGATATGTTATGAATAATAAGGACTACGTCGTTACATCATTAAAAGGACGCATTTTATTCTCATCCGTTCCGTATTCTATCCGCATATCCGTTCCGTGGATCCGCTCTATCCGCTTCCGCATTTTAACCTAATTGTGACATGCTTCACAATAACAAGTTTCATTGACCTTTGACTTTTCCTAGTGTCACGTCTATTTTCAGCTTTTCGCATGTGTTGAATAATGTCACTTTAGATTTCAATAGTTTTACAATTAAGCAGTGTTTAAAGCAGTTTTGACAAGCTTTGAACACTTCTCTTTACAGAATACTACAGATTGATTCTCGTAAGATCTGGTAGAGTTATCGTTGCACTGAACAAGAGTTTACACCGTTGACAACGGCGTTGTGCTAGACAGTAAAGAAAGACAAGGCCCGTGACGGTACACGTTGGCTACATGTACCTCCTTGCTTTTTTTTTCTATTGCATAAAGCTTGTTGGCGAGCCAAGCGATTGGCGATAACACGTTGGTGATAACGCATTGGCTATCTCCTCGTCTTTCTTATTTAATTAAGGAGCTCTGACTCGCAAGTTATTTTCTTCGTAAACGCCGTACAAACGTTTACCCGCTTCTGTTTAATAATAGTTGTTTCGCTCTTTGTACTGAGCGTAGCCATCTATTCTGTGATGTAGCACCTTATACAGTCAATGACAGTGTATAATGAATACACGTTCTAAATAATATCGATGGGCACTTAATTGAATACCGGTAATGCACAACATAATACTACATAATAGTATTATTGCGCAGAATCTCAAAGTACAAAGATTTTCTCACAATATTCCCATGTCTGAAATGTTCATATACTTGAAAACAACACTGTCTCGCTTCTGCCTACGTATACTGTACCTCTGTATAACGAGTATGCCGTGAAAATAATATCGGCACTCAATTGAATGCCTAGAATCTCAAAGATTTTCTCAATATTTACGTCTGAAATGTTTATACATTTGAAAACAACACTGTCACGTTGCTCCTTCCTAGCTTTGTATATTAATGAATATACCGTCCACATATATCAGTACTTGATTGAAAGACCGTCATGCATAACATAAATTTATATATTGCGTAGATTCTCAAAGATTTACTCAATATTCACGTCTGAAATGTTTAAATTAATACTGCATTTGAAAACAACACTGTCGCTCCTTCCTAGCATCGTATCTACGCCTTCATAGCGCATGCGCATTTGCCCTGCTATAGAAAAAATCGGGTGTTCCGGGGGGAAAGATCCTTTACACAACATGAGAGGCGAATGTTCTGAAATTACAAAAAATTACAATAACGACAACGATTCCTCGAAATTTTTGTGAACTTGGCAAAAGGACAAAAGAATATTTAAAGAAAATAAATAAAATTGCTTAAATAACCTTCAAAGCACTGATTAAGTACAATAAATCACTGCGAACATAAATCGTATACACCCCCCGGAAAGTTTACTCCATGACTGACTGATTCGTGTGAATTCGCCAGCCATCACAACAGTGTGAAGTGAAACTTCACACTAAAAATGGCTTATTAAATATTAATACAGCAATAATCTGTGTTGAGACGCATTATACTGTACTCTATAGTCAGCACGTCCACGCTTATACAGTATGGTTCAAAAACAATCTCTATTCATCAGCAAATGTATGTCGACCAGCACGAATGCAGCGTCTCGCCCATGAAATCATACAATCCGAATCGAAAGAATTTCGGATCATTTGCTGTTCCAGGTTGCGGCATGCTGTAACAATCGCTTCACGAAGCTCTCTCAAATTGTGTGGTTGCTCATCATGTGGCACATTCCAGATTTTATGTTTCAAATAGCCCCAAAGAAAAAATCGCATACTGTTAGGGAAGCGAGATGCCTGCATGACCACGTCAAACTAATCCACTAATTGAAACGATAATCGCGAGAAAATGGTAACGGTTATTCAACTGGTTTTAATAGGGCCTTTTCAGCTAATTCTTGGCGGTTCCAAAAATGTTTGCTTAAGTTTAAGCCCAGTTATCTCAGTCAATATTACATGATAAGGTACAAGACGCATATCAAAATTCAAGTTAAACATCGTGGAATATACGGTGACTTATTTAAGTTTAATAGCTCTTTTACTTTTTAAGTCATAGTGAATCAAACTGTCGTACTTTTTTTGCCCCATCCGGTATATGTGTTACCACTTCTGATTTTGAGGATTTTTAAATTTGAGGATTTTTAAATTTTGCCTACTAAATTACTATGATGGCAAAAAATGTAAAATCTCATGTTCTCTTATACGAAAAATAAACTATACCACTAGAAAGATCGCAAAAACTATATATAAGGCAATTAAGCAACTAGTGCGATTTTTCAAGCCGGTTTTGAATTAAAGATGGTTAAAGTTAGTTTTTTACGATCTTTCTAGTGGTATAGTTTATTTTTCGTATAAGAGAACATAGTCTAGTCAAAATATGAAATAATCACTTCCACCAAAAAGAAACTGTTTTAAAGGGGAAGTCAAGTCCGTTCTGCGCATCGGTTCTGCGCATAACAATAGAGGGCCCTCTGAGGTAAACATTGCCCAAATTTTGAATGTTTCGAATTTTTCTGAACACAAACTCTATTTCATATTCATGTAGAAGCATAACGAACCAAAATGGTGTTAGATATTCAGACAGTACATCATATTTTAAAAAATACAGCAGTTCAAAATGTAAACAAACCGTTTGTTTACATTACGGACTTGACTTCCCCTTTAAGGTAATTTCTGGTAGTATCAAGTGTGGGGAACAACATAATAAAAGTTTACCGAAATTGGTCACGTGAAAGCGTCTATTCATGACGTCATAAAAAGATGGCCGCCAATGGCCTAAAAATGTAAAATATCTACTTATGGAAACGCTGGAAATTGTAATAGATTGTGCAAATTGTCCAAAAAACTCTAATATCACAATAGTAACAATATTATAGGTCTCCGAGAATGTTATGCTGCGTCATGTTATGACGTCATCAATGACGTCATGACATTGATGTTCTGTTATCTCATTTCTTTCCTCTCGTGTTGCAAGCAATAAACGAATAGCCTAAGTGTTGCAGTTCAATAGGTGAAAATGTGAAATTATATAAAGGAAACAAGGTGAGTTAACTTCTTTTCTGTTTTAATTTACACCTCTACGGCTTTATTGTGGTCGTACTTCTGGCTTTGTTTTAAAGTTTAAATCACGAGATTTTTATTTTGGAAGTGCTAATTACTAACATATTTAGCGAAAAACAAAAAATACACATAACATGTAATATATTAATAAAATTTTAGTCTTTGGCGGTTAGAAATTTAAAATGTGCACGTGTGAGGCTTTTTTGCAATATAAAACCTCATCATATGTATCGATCAATTCGAAACTTCACCATCCCCCCCCCCCCCGGGCATACCCCGGGAATTTGACTTCAAGTCTTCTCCAGGGAGTAGGGAATTTGACGTTCTAAGTCTTCCATGTGGTGGGGCATTTGATAACGGGGTGGGGAATTTGAACCGGAAGTCTTAAAATGTTGCCCGTTTTCGCGTGCTTCCTGCATGCACAGAAAATACTTCGTATTGGCGGCAAATACAGTTTTCTCAGATTTCGAGGAAACGGCCTCAATTTTGTGAAAAAACTGGCTCAAAGAAACGGGCATGGAAAATCTATGTGTTTCATTTGAAGGTATGTACTACATAACTGTGTAAAACTGTTAAATTTCCACAAGGTATCCAAACTGTTTACGCGAATTTCGCT